GGGGGGGGGTGTTATTGACTTTTTCCCCTCCCTCCCTCCCCCCCACTCCCCGCTTTAGGAACTTTAGTTCTCTGTCTCCCCTCCGAGGAAACGACCTGGTACTGCAACGCGCCATCAGCGACGTTGCTGTGAGCTTTGTTAGGCAAATGCCAAAGCCCAACCATGATTTTTACCTCCCTCTCTTGCAAATTTAATTCTTCCTTTCCGCTTTCAGACACGTTTGCAAACGTCTCATCCCGACCCCTTCCCTCTCTCCCAGCGATTTCCCTTCCCTGGGCGAGGAGCCACGAGTTTGCCACCAGCCCTGGGACTTGCTTGGACCCCACTGCTGGAGAAGCAGAAGGTCCTCGGCTGATTTGTACAACAGCATTTCAGTGTGAAACGGCTGCCCTCAGGAAAGGCAGCGAACAGACTTCACTAGGGAAAAAAAAAAAATCATTGCCAACGTCCGTCTGAAGGCCACTGAACACAGGCACAACCCACCGCAAGTGACAGGCAGGTGCCGTGGCAGTCGTGCAGCTGGACTCGGAACAGCCCTGGGGACACGGTGGAAGCCGTAGAGATCAGAGAGATGAAGTGATCTGCCAAGGTCACCAGGAAGCTCACGAAAGAGCTGGGAGCAGAAGAAAACAACCCCGAACTGTGGTTTTGTGCCCATCCCGCCACGTCCCATCCCCAGGGCTCACCCGGAAGGCCGCGGCAGTTGCCTTGTCCCAGCATGGAAAAGTTAGCGGCTGGTACCTGCTCCCTCGCGCGCGGGCATGTCCCCCCACTGCCAGGGGCCCACCTTACCTCCTGGAAGGAGGTTTGCTGCCTGTTCCCCACACCAGCCGGGCTTGGGGCTGTTCTCGCTGCTGGCAGTGACGCTACGGTGACTCTTTTAGGCCAGGGCTTCCTTTACCACTGTAAAACCCTGAAACTACTCACTGGAAACACGCCATCCTTTGACGGCTCTGCAGGGAGAGTGAATCTCTTACCAGATCAACTGGTAAGAGTCGGAAAGGAAAAATAACCGGTTTCCAGCCCCACGAGCGTTTTCCAATGTGCAGTACCGCTCGTCCCCAGTGCGCGTCCTTCGCCACCAGCCTGACCCGCAGCTAGCACCCATCAGACGCCCCGCAGCCTGCCCCGCAGCCCCCATCGCACCCGGCCCACCACCCGGAGGGGCGCGCTCCAGCTCCCCACTTGAAAGCAAACCCGCAGATGTAGTAGTTTGTCTTTCAGATTGTGTTTCAAGCTTACAAATTGGAGGTATACAACATTTGCGATTGCTACCAGTCCTCATCACCCTTCTGCACGTTTCTGGAAAAAAGAGTGATAACATTCTGAGGTTTACAGGCGAGGATCTCGCAAGAAGGAAAATCAAGGCACTGATGAGAGTGGAGTATCAACATTTCGGTGTTACCTCTAGCATTTCTTTCCCGGTTGCAGACAAGCACCTTATCCTGTTCTTGCTCCACACTAAACGTAACAAAGCAATCGCTGTCA